GTATAATGATGTGTTGGAGTTGTTTTTCCATCTTTAAATTTATTATGCCCAAAAGAAATATTTCTGGTTTGAAATCCATTTGTATCTCAGTTATCTCCTGTATCCAATCTCTTATCCGTTCCCAATAATTTTTTACTTTGGGGCACAGCCACCACATATGATAAAATGTTCCTTCTTTAATTTTACATTTCCAACACTTTGGGTCTATGTTTTTATACATTTTAGCCAATCTCGCCGGTGTTAAATGCCATCTGTAAATCATTTTATATTGATTCTCTCTATATGCAGTTGATGGCGTCAATTTGCAATTTCTGTTCCATAATCTTTCCCATTCCACTCTTAAGGGGATTTCACTTCTGTTAGCATTCCTCATTGGCTTCTTTCTAGAACCCTGTTTCAGTCTCTGCTAGTTCAGAAGTGCATGCTACTCAGACTCTCTGCCCTTACTCCACTGGATAATCAACAGTAGTGGTCTTTTTTGCCCTCACAGCACAGCACATAACCTCTCAGAGCTCACAACTTTTCTGGTAGTTCTCCTCTCTTCCTCTTGTGGAACTCCTCTGACAAAGTCCGTTAACCTCTTTGTTTTGTTGGGGGGGGGGAGACTGTTCTTTAAAATCTGGTGAACATCTCTGAATTATTTAACACTGGCTCATAAGATGCGAGACAATCTTCACCAGTGTGGCCATTGCTACACCACTACACCTCAAGGTTCCTCACTCTCTATGAAGAAAGAACCAAATTACTATGCTGACATGTATTCAAAAGTGTAGATAAAAGTACACTTGTGGAAAATAAGGGGTGTGTGTGTGTTTCTGAGTAAATATTCTCTTGTGCTACAAGAGACACGGTACCTCTGAAGACCATCATGCTTTCCAGAATTGAGGGTAAAAGTTAATTGCTTTCAGCCTGAAGTAGCCTGGTTGTCCAAATTCTCTTGCCTCTATATGGAGATTTTTTTTTTTTTTACTTTTCAGAGTTGTTTGGAGCTTCCAAAATATTTAAGTTGGAAGATACATTCAAGATGCTAATACTATTCCCTTGCCACACCTCATTGTTTTTCTTTTTAGTCTCTGTGCATTGACACTTTAGAGATCTGTCTATGTGCAAAGACCCATTTGGAAATAGTCCATTGCTGAGACTTGGGTTGGAGTCCCTTTCCTCCTTGGTGTGTATGCAATTGAATAGAGCTCCTATCTTCCATTTATGTTCTTTTCCAGGTATTGAATAGGTAACATTATAAAGAACTTTCTTGACTTTCTTTCAGCCAGTAGTGACAAAATGGTGGAAATAATTTTGACTGGTTTGAAATACGGATGTGGGGAGAAGTGGCAACCAGAAACATACTTTTTCTACAATTTTAGTTTTAAATTTATTTATTTAAATGTGCATGCCTTTTGCATCAGGTGCTTTTTGGGGAACCCTAAAACAGAATAGATTGTAAGACTGAAATCGTCATAATGTTGGTTTAAACCAGGTGTGTCCAACCTTTTGGCTTGCCTGGTCCACACTGAGTGAAGAGGAATTGTCTTTGGCTGCATATATAAAATATATAATATAGTTAATGTATATAAATTACATAATAAATTTTTATGATCTTATGGACTGCATTACTGTCTGTCCAGGACACGCCTGGTTTAAATCCTAATGAAATGTGAGTCTTTAAAAGTCATGAGCTCCTTTGTTTTGTAATAAGGCAGGAAGGCCAAAGTATTTATCTTCTCTACCATTAATTCATGCTTCTCTCTGGAACAGTATTCCCATGTATATAATATATACATAAATATAAAACGTAAATATAAATATATTATAAATATATAATCTAGTAATCCCATAAATAGAACATATTCTCTTCTGGGTTTCCAGAAGTTTCTTACAAGATGGCTATCTTCCCAAGTACGGTGTGTGTGTGTGTGTGTGTGTGATTGCAAAACTTCAGTCGTGTTTTTTATTGCTTTAGTAGCTTTTAACTCTGATAGTGTTTTGTTGTCATGTTTTCAACTTTTTAATTGCATATTTTGTTGTTGTAAACCACTCAGAATCTTTTGGAATGGGAAGCCATAAACATAATTATAACAATAAATATCTACTAGAATATAGTTTGTAATAAATACAAGCTTTTTATATTATGTAGGAACTATGTATCTTAATCACCAAGTTACAAAATGAGCTAATTGAAAAAAATGTGCAATTTGTTATCCATAACAAGGGCTTCAAATTTTAGAGTTTGAAAGATAGTTTTCAACTAAATTGGTTTCCTTCTGTTTCCTTTGATTCTTTTTAATAACTCCATTTAAAGAAGATATTGAGGGGGGGAAAAAAAACCCCTGTAATTCTATTTTTTTGTAAGCAAAGTCCTACGGAAATAACCGGGTGAAATTCCCTTTCTGCCAAATGCTTGATAACATAGATTCAATTTTGTTGTACTTTTGAATTCTTCTACTTGTAAAACTTTTAACAGTTATGACTACTTGAAGCATCAATATTTCATCCTTCGTGGTAACTAAAATTGCATACGCTATGCACACTCTCTCGGTTGTAAACCATCTGCTTTTTTTATTGTTTGTTTTCACTCTTCAGTTTGATAAAGGATATGCTTACAGCATCCGGCATAACTATGGAAAAGAAGGCAAGAGAACGGATTATACTCCATACAGTTGCATGAAAATTATCCTGTCCAATCTCCCAGGCCAAGGGGATTATCACGGTGAGTGCTTTTTCCTGACAGGCAGCTTTAGAAGCCAATGGATTGGTTGGCTGTATTAGTGGCAGAGGTTGGATTTGCGGCTTAAGGCAACCTTTGCTGTCAAGTCGAGCGTGCTGCTCCTCTTCTGACAATTTGTCTTATTATCGAACCAGGTCAGACAAAAAAGGTTCATTCAGTCTGTGCTCCGCTGAGCCTTGCTGCGTTTTTTCTTTTGCTTGTTTTCATCCCCACAATGTTTCAAAGCAACAAGTGCCTCAGCGCTTTTTCTTTGCCAGCAAACTGTCAAAGAGCTATAAATCATTTGATATTTTTTTTTCTCCCAGAAACCAGACACTCTCCAGAATCTATGGGATGTTGTAAATCTAATGATTCATTGTCTCTAGAATGAAACGGGGGAGTACTGTAATACATTTCCACAAATTACATAAAATCAAGGTTTTCTTCCAAATGTTTAGCTTTTCCTTTAAGAGACTCCTTTTTCTCCGACAGCGGGAAGTCACTTGCCAATTACAGTGAATTGTTTATTTCATCCATTATTTCTTCTCAGTCATCTAAGTCCAGTAATCTAGAGTATAGATCTCCTATACAAAAGTGCCTAGATAATTGCATTAAGAGGAAGATATATTGATAAATGTATTTTTTTTCTTTTATAAAATGGGTAAATAATAATCTAGTCTCATCCTCATTTTTATCTCTCTTCCTCAGAGTCATTCAGGCTTGAATGCAGAATTAGAATATCACTAATATTGTTTAGGGCAGGGCTTTTCAACCTTTTCACCCATTGTACCACTTTTAGGATATGGCAATATCCAAGTACCACCCGTCGCCTAGCAAGGTGTCAAAAACTTGATGACCAAAAAAAAAAAAGGAAAAAAGTGATGAAGTATAGGTAGTCCTCGACTTACAACAGTTCGCTTAGTGACTGTTCGAAGTTACAATGGCGCTCTTCCTCCTGTCCGAGGTTTTCATTGTGAGCATTTCTGTTGAGGATTGGCAGCGGGGGTGGGGTGGGAAGTGTTTGGTTTTTATTCCCCCCGTCTGCTGGGTGGTTGCAGCAGGTTTTGGTCACTTCACACGACCCTGGGACACTGTGACCATCATAAATATGAATCAGTTGCCAAGCATCTGAATGTAAATCACAAGACCCTGGAGATGCTGCAATATTCCAGCTGATTGGCACTTCTTCTGGGCTCAGCAGAAGCGCCAGGATCAGCGCCGAGCTCCAGCTGGAGCCTGGCGCTTCCGCTGAGCCCTGACAGTCCTGCAGCTCCAGCCGTCTCTCGCTCAGGCTTGTGCGGTGCTGCCACCGGTTCAGCTCATTCCCCTCCCCCGCTAC